GTCGGTCCGCGGCCTCCGCTCGCCGGCTATTGGCACAAAGAAGCTCACGCACGTTTATGCACACACACACAGTTTAACCAATGTGGAGGTGAGGCAGCTATTATTATTATTTTCTTTTTAAAATCTCTCTCTCTCTCCTCTGTACCGTAGAAACACTTGCTTTCTTTTTTTTTTTTTCAAAAAACATGACAAACATGGCTGGGTCCAAAGTTTTTTTTTTGTTTTGTTGCTTTTTTTTTCTTATTTCTCTTTAGAACATTTTGAGTCAACCGGTCAAAAAACACAAACAGTGAGAAGAATCTAGAGACACAACTTTTGAAATAACAACCACATGAAAAATAACATTTAAAGAAAATGAAGTCCAGGAGAGATTCGACATTCTGCTGAGGGGTAAGAAAAGTGAGGAAAACGATGAGCCGAAAAAAGGGGCAGTGACGTTTTTTGTGTTTTTTTTTTCTTTTCTTTTTGCTTGACTTGTAAAATCCAGGAGAATTCGTCGTTCCTCCCTCGCAGCAGTGACCTTTCCTGAATACTGTCATTTTTCTGGACTTAAGAGCCCCAAAGCGTTGCAAAAGTCGCTGAACACAGAATAAGAAACACTTCATTTGGCTTGGAGGGTCGAGCTTTTTTAAATAGACAAAACAGGATACGTAAAAAAAAAGTAAAAAGAAAGCACGAGTTGTACAAAACAAAACAATTAAAGTAGAATTTGAGGTGTTTTTATCCCCCGATCTGAACTCGATACAGTCAAAATACAATCCAGACTCATTCGTGGTATATATATTTAAAAAAAAAGCATCAAGTGTTGAGCAAAGTCATTTTGGGACAAATGCAACACGGAAAATAACCAAACATGATACAAAAAACACAGCTGAGAAAAACGTGGAAAAAGGTTTTTTTTAACACTTGGCGTCACACAGAAACAGAACAACACCGGAGGCTGCATCCGAGTCGTAAAGAAAAACGCAAAGTTTTCCACATAAGCCCCGCCCCTCGCCCTTTGCAAAAAACAAACAAACAAAAAAAAAAACATGTCTGAGCAACACAAAAACAGCTTTATTAGTATGCACAGGTGAACAGAACGCACCTCCGGACACGGCGGGTGTTCAAGGTTAAGGTGCAGGGCACTGGTGTGTGTGTGTGTGTGTGTGTGTGTGTGTGTGTGTGTGTGTGTGTGTGTG